CAGACCCACAAACACAGGAGGTGCCCTCAGCTGCCCAAGGCCAATATGGACTCTGAGCCCTCAGCCACCCACCAGGCTTTGTTAGCGTCCTGCCTGTCCCATTCCAGCCCCTCCTGGCCTTCCCCATCAGCTCTCCAGAACACCCTGCCAGGTCCTTGCCTCCTCTCAGCATCCCTGTGGGCGGCTGCTCCCGATGGAGCCAGGATGCGTCCAGGTGGGCCTGTCCCAGCACGCCTGCCTCCAGCACTCCCAGGGGGCTGCCTTTCTGCCTCTGCCAGTCCAGGACACCCCCCGGCTCCAGTCACTCATTCATTTGCTCACTCACTCACTCATTCTTCAGGGAGCACAAAGTCTCTCGTCCACTATAACGGTCACCAGCACCACTGCTGATGCAGTTCCTGGTGCACAAGGGTGGCAGCCGGCGCTGACTGTCCATTCATGGGAAACAAGGGCAGCAGCACGCTCCTGTGACGGGCTGCCAGAAGAGAAGGAACACAGACCTTTCAGCTCGCACCCAGGAAGCCCTTCAGAGGAGGCCGGCCTCTCCCCATCAGCCAGAGGAGCCACTAACGCTAGTGTGTGGCACCCCCGATGACCATCCCATGGCCATAAAGGCCAAGGGGTTAATTTGCTAAATGCATCATCATTTAGGTTAGGAGAGGACCTTGTGTGCCCCCATGAGTGCTCCACGGGGAGGTGACATTCCCAGCAATCAGCATTCCGGAGCCAGACCAGGGTGGAGGGGCATACACTTCTGGGTGACACTCCACTATGTCCCTCCTGTCCTCTCTCTGCTTCTCACCTCCTTCTCTCATCACCCACTCTCTTTCCTAAGTATTAGTTAAGACTGTTTTGATACCTGGATAGAAAAAAATAAATAAAATGTCAAGTAGTTTTATGGAAAAAGTAAGAAGACAGGGTGAAGAGACAGAGATGAGACTGAACTAAAAAAACTCACTGCTGTCTAGTCGAATCCAACTCATAGTGACCCCTCCTTGGGTTTCCGAGGCAGTATCACTAGATACCCAAGATTGCCCAACCTTCCTTCCGAGGCGTGGCTGGTGGGTTTGAACCACCAGCCTTCTGGTTAGCAGTCAAATGCCTTAGACACTATGCTACCAGCACTCCCAAGTCTGAACTGGTGGGGATGATTTCAGATTGAGGAGCTAAAGGAGGCTGCTAATGAGGATCTCAGCTTCCATGTCACTTCCACAGAGAGGGACTCCCTGACCTCTCATCTGATGCAGGACCCATGTCTCTTACAAGCTGTCATGGCGTTCTGTATGTTATACATTTATTTGTGCCATAGGTGCTTAGTTCTTTGTCTCTCCACCAGACCATCAGCTCTCTGAGGGCACGAGTCATGTGTCTTGTCTCATAACCTAAATACCCCATTGCCTAGCAAGTGCCTGGCACTGAATGAGCACTCACAGTACAATTGTTGAATATATATATATAGAGAGAGAGAGAGAGAGAGAGAGTCTCCATCACCCAGCTGTCATCCTGTGGTCACCATTGTCATCCTGTGGTGGCTTGTGTGTTGCGATGTTGCTATGCCACCAGTATTTCAAATACCAGCAGGGTTATCTGTGGTAGACAGGTTTCAGCAGAGCTCCAGGCTAAGGCAGACTAGGAACAAAGTGTTCTGCTTCTGAAGGTTAGCCTGTGGTAGTTACAGTTATGTGTCAGCTTAGGTGGACCTGCTTCTGAGTGGCTAGACAGCTGGATGCAGTATTCCCCATGATGAGACTGGTAATCAGCTTCGTGGTGGAATCTGCTGTGAGCTGCTGAGTAGCTACCTTAGGGATGTGGTCTGCTTCTAGCATATAAGGAGAAGCTTTAGGAATGGTCTGTAGCTTTTTGGCATGCTTGAATCCTGCATGTAGCCAAGTCGTCATTCAGCAGCCTGCCATGTTGTCTGTCAATCTTGGGACTCCTGATGGACTTGAATCAATGGCCTGCCATGTGGTTTGGTAATATGGGACTGTGTCCTTCTACTTGGTGACCTTGGGTTTGTCAGCCTCAGCAGCCAGCAGCTGCCTGAGTGAAGAAAGCCTCCAGTTTCAGTGGGCTGGAAGCAGCAGGCAGAGCTGAAGCCTAAGGTTGAGAGGCTTTCACCCAGCCCCTAGAGCCTGGTACTTTGAACTTGGACTTCTAGCCTCCAAAACTATAAGAGAAAAAACTCCTATTTACTAAAGCCATCCCATTTGTGGTATTTTCTGTTAGAGCAGCACTAGAGGACCAAAACATAGCCAATGAAAATGTTACGGATCACATCTCAATATTCAACAATATTGGCACAACATTCCCTCCCTCCCTAAGTCAGTTACCCCTCCCTTGATGCCTTCAGCACTTGGGTCTTATTCTGGGGAAGCATAGCTCACCTGAGTGACGGTAATTTGAGTTACACAGCTCCTTGCTGTGAGAGGAGAACCAGTTGTGGGTCCTCCTTGCACAACAGCAACACACCAGGCTTTGGAGTCAAATAGACGTGGACTGCATCAGGCAAGCTACTTTCCCCTTGCTGAATCTTGACTTCCCCATATGAATAACGGGGATGATGGTCCTCCCTACTTCAAAGGGTCATGGCCAGGTTTGAATGAGAGAACACAAGTCAACAGCACAGGCACATAGTCAGTGCTCAATAACTTTTAGCTGCTATTTTATTCCCAGCCCCTAACCCCTGACCTGGCTCAACAAAGGTTTTGCAGATTAATGAGTAGACCAATGAACAAATCAATAAATTGGTTCAATAGCTACGGACTGAGTTCCATACTATAACAGCTGGTGATAGTCCACACACTGGCTGATTTATACTCTCCAGTGCCAAGTGCTTTATTTACTTTGTCTGGCTTCTCTCCCACTCAACTGACAGCTTGTTTGGGTCTCTTAGAGACGGTCTGACAGACCCTACGCTCCCAGGCTTCGTGGGATTGTCAGTCAGATTGCTCGATTCCAGGCTGAACTCCTCTTCTAGGAGAGCACCTTCTACCCTGCTCAGGCCAACAAGAGGAGGAGAGCATGTTTTAAAAAGTCTGTGAGAACAGGGTCTGCACTTGGCCTCATCTTTGACTGCTGTTGTTAGTTGTTGTCAAGATGGTTCTCATTCATGGTGACCTCGTGGACAACAGAACAAAACACTGCCCAGCCCTGTGCCATATTCATGATCATTGGTGTGCTTAAGTCCATTGTCACAGCCACTCTGTATTCTGAGTGCCTTCCAACCTCAGAAGCTCATCTTCCAGCACAAGATTGGACAATGTTCCATGGTGATCCATAGAGTTTTCATTGGCTAATTTTCAGAAATAGATCACCCAGTCTTTCTTCCTAGTCCAGAAGTTCTCCTGAAACAGGTGACCCTTGGTGTTTGAAATACCAGTGGTATAGTTTCCAGCATCATAGCAACACAAAAGCCACCAAAATACAACAAAGTAACAGACAAGAGATGGCATCTGACTACTGGTCCAGCTTTGGTTTAGGCAAGCAGTGGTGAGGGAGATTAGACGTGAAGAGTAGTTTTCTGTCCTAGCAGTTTTAGAAAGCTCAGAATACGTCAAAGTCAGATTCTGAATTTAAGTCCCAGGTGTGATCAAAGAGAGACACATTTGTACCCAGAAATTACATTTGCTAGACTACAGTGACTCATGCTATGGTCTAGCAATCAACGAGGCTACAAAGAGGCCTTGAATGTACTAAGACATCACATGATATTGTCCTGGGAGGCAAAAGAAAATCGTGCTCAGAGGGAGGGCTCCGCAGTCAGCTGTAGGTGGGTTCAAATCCTGTGTCACTTACTAGTTGTGTATCTTTGGACAAAGTATGACATCTCTGAGCCTCAACTTGCTTATCACTAAAATAAGGACATGGCTATAAAGATTAAATAATACAGTGAATGCAAAATGCTTAGTGCAGTGCCCAGTGCATTGTAAGTTCTCAGTTAGGTCTCTTGCTATGATGATGATGATGATGATGATGACGATGATAACAATGGTGGTGCTGGACATATGGCAGTGATGGAGATTGTGGTGATTGAGGTGGTAGAGGTGGTTGAGGTGCTGTTGGCAGACGTGGTGGTGATGGAGGTGAAGGTGAGGGTGAGATAATGGTAGTGGTGACAGTGGACATGATGGCAGTGGTGGTGGTGGGGGTGATGGTGAAGGACCACTCAGCCACTTGCCTGGTGTGAGAGCTGAGAACTTAGGTGACTAGGGCAGAACTCAGATGACCTAGATTTTAGATCAGCATGGGAGCAGAGACCCTTGACAGAGCATGAGCACAGTCACTAACTGGTTTTGCAAGATTGCAGTCACGTGAACATCTCTACCCTAGGAAGTCTCTGCATGCATTGTAAAATCCATTCTCCACCCTCCATGGAGCAGGATTCCCTTAGTCATGGGTCGCCGGGGCACCAGGCCATCTTGTCAAGGCAATGACCTATCTGCCATCCTCCCTTATGCTCAGCAAGGATCCCCTCTTCTGAAACAGATAACCATGCACAGGGTGAGCAGTGTGCTGTTGCCTTATACAAAGACCTCTCTCCTGAGCTGTCACTGGGGAGGAAGGGACATGGCAGTTGGTCCAGGATCCTTGCTCAGTTGATCAGCCCCCAGGGACCCATGTCAGGCATTTGCACACTGGTTTCCCTAGAGACGGAGCCAAGAAACAAAGCAAAGCCAAGCAAGCTGCAGGACCTTAACCTCAGCAACGAAGCACCCAAACAGATGTGCCAGCAGATGGAACACCTTATGGAGATTGGTTTTGAATATAGAAAGAAAATAAGCAAAACAGTCAGAACCTGATGGACCCGATGTTTACAAACCCATAACCTTTGACCCCAGGACTGTGTGCCTGTGTGGCTCTGAGAGTTTCAGAAGCCTGGCAAGCACAAAACTGAAGGAGGAGGAGGAAGAACGTTTGTTTCAAACTCTGCACTGCCTAGAAGCCCTTTCACGCCTCCCATTCTCCATGATCAGTAGGCAGCTCATGGTTTGACATAGAGGGAAACTGAGGCACCAGAGTTAACCACAGTGGGAGGCAGTTAGCAAAGAGGTCTCTGTGCTAGGAGAGGGGGCTGCCCGTTCCCAGTGATGAGATGCAACAAGTTACACTTGAGTATACACAGCTTTTGTCCCTAAAGGGCCCAAACCAGAGCTGCAACATGCTCCATGCAATGAGGAGCCTAGTCCACACCTATTCCTGTCTCTCCTCCTCCCGTCTCAACTACTGGGGAAAGGACGCAGGAGAGGAAATGGAGACGAAGCAAGAGACATGAAGCATGGCTTTGGCTATGCAGATTTCCAGTTCTTTACAGCATTTTCTTTTTCTACTTTGAAGTCTGAGTTCTGGTTTTTTCCTCTTTATATTCCTTTTCTAAGACACGGAATCCTGGCCAGTAATAAGTCCCAGTCTTCATAATAGACAGATGCATTTGGGTCCCTCACTTAGGCACTCCCACCTACTCCTAAGACCAACAGATGGACCATGAGTAGACCCCATTCAGACAGTGCACTTCCTCTTCCAGCCAAGAAGCACTTGGATGCTGACCCATCACTGAGCAGCTCTTCCCCCGATCCAATTCTAGCCCCAGAGGGAGATGAGCTGGCAGAGGGATGGTGCAGATGGGGTAGGGGTAGAGACGCATGAGAAGAAATTCTGGAGAGCAGGAAGGATAATACTCACAGGGCATCGGTGGACCAGCCAGTATGCCTTCTCCTGGCAATCCAGGGCATACCTGTCTGCTTTGTTCCTTTCTTTTCCAGCCCTGAAAAATCAAAAACCAGACTTCAGGCCAGTGATACTCTGCATCTTCTGCTCAAGGGTGACCCCCTCCCTAATCACCTGGACCACTCTCCCCAAACTGCCCCAATAATCCACGTTTGCCATAATGACAAATTCTAATGTCGTATTGTCAGATTGCCTTCTAACTACTTTTACATGCATGAACTCATTTAACCTCCCCCCAGTCTCCCTTCCTCACTTCACAGAACAAGGAAGGAAAGCAGAAAGAGGATGAATTTCCTGCCCAGGATCACACTGTGAGCAAGTGGTGGAAGTGGTGATGGAGACGGTGAGGATGGTGGAGGTGGTGGAGGTCTGGTCCAGAGTCCATGCTTATGCTGACAACACTGATGTGCAATGCAATTGTGCCTATGACTAGCCCTAGAATCGAATCAACTCCACTGACCTCACCACTAGAGTGGGAAGTGGATAAAATTCCAGGCTGGTATTTGACCACCCAGCTTCATAATTTTTCCCTGTTTTGGCAAACAACGTAATCAACATCTGAACAAGCAGGCAGCAATCAAAGTCAGTGCTTGCAATGAGGAGAAAGCTGGCCCCGGGAGTCCTCTTTCCTCCCTACCTGTCAGTTCCACTCTGTCACTCCAAAGAGTCCATGCCAAGTCAGGGCTTTTTCTGAGCCCAGCTTACAGCTGTAAAGGCTATTTATCTTCCTCTTATCTCCCAGGCTCCCTCTCCCATCCTGGGTAGGAAATCATGCTGGGCTTCCCTTCTACAGGAGAAAGGTGGCTGCCGTGTTGGCCTCGCTCAGTACCATTGCCACGGCGACCTGAGCTCACACTCAGCAATGCTTGTTTTCCCAGGCAACGTGGGATGACGCACATGCCCTCTATGACGCCAAGTCGGCGGCTTTGTTTTCCAGCTAATGTATTCTGAATAACACCCAAGAGCCAGATGGGGTGAGCAGAGCCATTCCAGTGGGGTGTTTGACCAACCTCGTCTAGAAATTAAATATAAGCATGGTCGCTCCACTTCTCCTTGCCAACCTAACTGGATATTTCACCAGGCTAACAAGCCCACGTCTTCAGGAAGCTGAGCCAGAGGGCCCGAGCCACTATGGAGTTTCCCTTACACTAGCCAGCTTGTAAACAGAGTGGCTTGCTAAATTACCCCACGGTCCTTTCTAGCTTTGCTTTTCTGTGATACATGTCATTGGAGGGGAGCTGTGATAAATGGCATCTGGGAGTAGCAGTAAACTAGGAATTATTTTAGCTTATTATGTTAATTTTCTAAGCAACAGCATTCACTTGATCATTCATTCATCCATTTATTCTTTCATGTACTTATTGAGATCCCATTATGTTCTGGACACTGAGAGTATATTGTTGAACCAAAGAGACATAGTCCCTGACCTAGAATAGCTTTCAGCCTAAACATTACAGAAATAGGCAAGAAATATAGAAATACACATTGCACTACAAGTGACAAGGGAATGTTCACGGTTCTATAATGTAGAATCAAGGGTGGCCTCTGTGGTGGTTTTTAAACTTGTCTACAAATTCTTTGACACTTTTTCCATTGACATGTGAATCTGTATCGCCTCCCCTTGACACTGAGCTGGCTTTTTGTGACTGTTTTGACTAACACAGTGTGGCAGAAGTGGTGCTGTGTGGCTCGTGAGGCTGGGCCTTAAAAGGCGGAACAGCTGCCACCTTCCTCACTGCGACATTTGTTGTTGATAAATGCCAACAGTTACATGTAACCAATCCAACTGTCCTGATGTGGTCCTGCTGTGAGGAAGCCCAAGGTAAACCTATGGAGAAACCACATGGAGATGCCCAGAGGCTATGAGGAGGCCAAGAAATGCCCAGCCAGCCCCTAGTTGCACCAGGCCTCCAGCTCCAGCTGTTTGATTGCAACCATTTGGAGACTCTGAGCCAGAGTCTTCTCAACCGAGTCCTTCCTAAATTCCTGCCCCACAGAAACTGTGAGGGATAATAATATAACTATTGCTATTTTGGGGAGCTCTGGTAGCATAGTGGCTAAGACACTTGCCTGCTCACCAGAAGGCTGGCGGTTCAAACCCACCAGCCACTCCTCGGAAGGAAGGTTGGGCAATCCTACTTCCGTAGTGATACTGCCTC